ATGCCAACTGCACCCATATATCAATGATTTCCAGGACAAGAAGAGATTTATATACATGGCCTTAACAGGTACCACAAATTTTTCATGGAAGTATTTGTGATTGATAGCCTGCTTTGTTCTTAACCAGTCCATTTATTCTTTTATGGCAGGAAAACATGTTCTTAATCAGAAGGCCATAAAAGTCCCCAAATTGTTCCACAAAAACATTGTGCTATACATGTGAAGCCATGAACCCCAGTTCTTATTTGGAATCAAAGCCTACAAAATGACAGAAAGGACTCACTCAAGCCACGGTTGAAGAGGATCTTCTCCTTTATACTCATCAATGGCTTCAATCAACTTCCTGAAGGCAGATAAACAAGAAACGCCATAAATAAGTCAAATACTGAAATGAAAATATCCCCAGTACCAAAATAGCACAAACGCCCTAGATTTCACAAAATTCAATTCTCACCAAGGCATATAAGCCAAAAAATAAAAGGAAAACCATTTTTAGAAATTTATGGAAACAAAGGATGGATGGATAAATCACAAGAAAAAAATAGTGGGTGCTTGATAATGAAAATTTCTTAAATAGAAATAAGTCACAATGTTTAAAATAGACAAAAAAAACCCCAATTTCAATAAGAATGTCAAAAAATGAGAAAAGATTAAAAAATTAGCAAACCTCCAAATTTCAAGAAGAATAGTAAAAGAAACAGAGAAGATATCTATTATTCAAGAAACCCATCAATTAAAATTACAAAAAAGATACATAATAGCATCTCAAAACACAACAGGATTTCCAACAACAAGGAATGCTTCGCATAAATATGAGGGAGAAATTTGAAAAAAAAAGAGAGAAAAAATAACCTGCGATGTTCAAGCAGCGATTTCTTGGAGAGACTGTCCTTTTGAGCTTTGAGGGCCCAGTTCAAAAGGTCAACATTTCTTCCCCTCTTTAATGGCCTCACATTCTCTTTAAACAACTCCCAATCATTGCTCGACTTCACGTCTGAAGCCAAAAATTCTGCTTCTGCATCTGCAACTATAGCGTCAGCCATGGCTTCTCCTTCTTTCTTCTTCTTCTTCTTCTTCTTCTTCCACCTCCTCGTTTTAGGGTTTTGGAATGCCAAGTAATTTGAGTGAAGGCAGGCTCTGATGTGGTTCGCTGCTTTTATACCAAAAGTTTGTTTAACGGTCATGGAGCCACAATTCAAATGTTTGTAGATTTTAGATTTAAATTGTGTAATGACGAAACTGTCCTACTCTTTTATTCAAATGACTATATGTTTCATTCTTAGTTTCGTATTAAGAGAGAGAAAGAGGAGCTCTCGAACAGTGGTTCTAGAGAGAGAAAGTTAATAATTGGTTTGGTTATGCAAGAAGAGAGAAAGAGGAGCTCTCGAGAAGGGGGTTCTAGAGAGAGAAAGAGGAGCTCAATAATTAGTTTTGGTTATGCAAAAAAGAGAAAGAAGAGCTCTCGAGACACTGATTTTAGAGAGAGAAAGAGGAACTCAATAATTGGTTTTGCAGAGAGAAAAAGGAAAGAGAAAAGATTTCGGGTTGAAGTAGAGGGAGAGAATAGATATGGGGTTTGTGAAGTTTCACTATGTGGATTGTTGGGTCATGGGTTGGGTTTGTATTGGGTAAGAGAACTGTATTTTGATTTAATTTTTTTAATGTACTTTGATAATGCAGTATTTTTATTTCAATCAAAAAATCTAATAAAATCTTGCAGATGTCCAAACGGTTCAAATCGAAACACAAGATTTTTTTTTGATTGAAATAAAAAAATATTACAATTTTAAGTACATCCAAACTAGATATAAATGTTAAAAAGTAGTATAGATTCAACAATATGGAGTTTTTTTTAAGGAAAAAGTTTAAATAGAGTTGATGCTCTAAACAATTAAATTTGAGCCCACCTCAAAAGTTCCAGTAGAAGAGGTTGTTTTGATGCCCAAATATCTTCAAATTGATCATCTTGATATCAAGATACATGAACATGAGAAAAAAAAAAAAAAGATTTCAAGTCTTGGAAATAGTGCATCTTGTAATGTATTTTTGGACAGTCAATTTTTAAAGTTTAACATTTCTATTCGATCTACATTATTTTTAAAGCTTTAAATTTTATAATTAGAGATGAAAGTATATTTTAAAGCTAACACAAAGATTTCCAGTATTGAAACCATATTTCTCGATACTATTTGAAGGTGGGCTTTACTTTGATTGTTTAGAGCTTCGGCTCTATACAAACCTCACCCTTTTTTAAAAACTCCAAATTGAACATTATTTTTTTAAGCAATTAGGAGTTTTTTAAGTGAGTATATCATATAGGTTAAACATGTTACTTCCGCAAAACATAGGGTCTTAAAAAAAATGGGATTAGATTAGGTTCCATCGAGAGGAGCAAATGCACAATATGATCCCTCGAGAGCATTAAGTCCTTGGCATGCTTTCGAAAGAGAGTATTTGGATTTTCGGGTAGATCAGCGGGGAATAGTGATTTTGGATCGCATTAGTGGCTCAAATAATGCTACCACCTACAACCCCAACCCCATCCTCAGGGCTTTTCACTTATCAATTAACACAACCTATTTGAGCTCCATTTTCTTATTTGGTCTTCGGACAATTTTGTGGACCTCAGGCCAAGATCCATCTATTTCACATGTCAACCGCATCATGATTTCTAGTTGGCTCCACATCATGATGTCTAGTTGGTTCTTTTTCTTTTCGTCGTGATTAACGGTTTCAATTTGGTTTCAATTTTGTGGTAACTAGACGAGTCTTTGTTCGATAGGGCAAGCTTTTTCCTACTCCATAAAATTGCCTAATTACAATGTTGTCTCGATGTCATTTTATTTGTATATTTTTTATACAAATTATTTTGACATCAAATTTTAAAAAAAATATAAAAAAAATATTCTCAAACTCACAATGGTAACAAATTTTTGACTAAGAGTTGAATTTCTTAATATTCTCAAACTCTTAATCTTAGTCAAAAAAATATTTTGATTAAGAGTTGAATTTCTTAAACTCACACTTGTAAAAAAATATAAAAAAATTATTCTCAAAAATAAAATAACCAAAATACCCTTGAAAGTTTCATGGGGTATTTTGGCCGTTATATTTTATCAAAAGAATCGTTTTAATATTTTTTTAGGCGTGGCCCATTAAAAAATGACTCCCTTAATCTAAATTGGACGGCTGGATAGGGTGGAGATATACATCTTTTATGTTGTTGGGGAAGTATAGAAACCTTTTTTTGTTTAATATTATAACTTCTCATTGTTTCATGCAACATATTTGTGCATTTTGCCTTTTTTTAACCCTACTTGTGTAGAAAATGTCACAAAACAATTGGACTAGGCATGTAATTAGGTCGGGTCAGGTCTAGGTTGACTTGGTCCAATTCATTGGGAGGTGTCAAATCTATATAATATATATAGACTAAAAACTTGTTTTAGGACGACATAGTGTTTAAAACATGGATCAGTTGAGTGGATCACCCACCCACTAGTACCGATCCGGATCAACAATTTCGATTAGTTGAATTGGTCATCTGGACAACAAAAAAGAAAAGAAAAAAAAAGAAGACATAATCCAGAATATGTATACTTTCTATCACTCGTGTCGAAACTTGGCTAGATGCACTCCAACTTAGCCATTTTGAATTTGTATTATACAATGTACATACACAAGATATTATATCTATAATAAAGGAACTGGTGTGGTGCGACTGATTCTCAATCTAGATGGGGCAATTGTCATGGATTTTTTTTTTTTTTATATCTCCTTATGCCCAAAACCGCTTCTTTTCAATGTCATTTAATCTAAGCATTGTAGTAGGTCGAGGTAACATTCTTCCAAAAATAAAAAATATCAAATCATCCTCAATAAAAAATAAGGAAAAAAAAAAAAAGCATGTGCAGTATGCGAGTGTGCGTGGATGTCTCAATGAGTTGAGAAATTTGTAAACGTGAGAAACATTCTCTCTCTTTTGGATTTTTCACTCTCATTCTTACCTCTTATTTCCCAAGTGCAATATAAATTTTATACAAGTCTCTTATCTCTTATCTCCTAAATGTAATATAAATTGTTTTTATACATGTAACAATGTAATATCATTTAGCCTAACATGAAAACTTACATGCTCTTGTAGGAGCAAAATGTATGTTTGCTCCCATGAGCAAATCCCTAGATAGTAGTAATGGAACCTAGGGCTTGCAAAAGGCCAGGCGGCTTGGTCCGGACCATGGACATGCCAAGGAAAAATCAGGCCTCACTCAAATTTCAGCTTGAAGGCTCAGCATGGGTAGGACCATGCTAGGGCCTGTGGCCATGGCTGGCCCAGCCCAACAACTCTAAGGCCATGGCTGGCCTAGCCTAGGCCCTTCAGAACACGCGAAAGATAGGGAAGGGCCACCCAGCAGCCTCAAGCCTAGGCCGGGAATCTAAGGACCCACAGCAGCCCCGACCAGCCCTGGCCCGACCGTTGCCACCCCTGCTAGAAGTCTTGGGGATGTAACCTTCTCAACTTATTGATCAAAGTAAAAAAGAAAAGTTGCACACAAAAATATTATACCCTAGGATTACACACACATCTCCAATTTCGATGGTTAGATACTTAAATGTAGGTCTTCAATGCTTCTTAATACTCATTTAGTGATTCTAAAATGAATCTCAAAATTTATTGAAAAAAATGCCATGTAGTTCATTTGCCCAAGGAAGTAAATAGATTTTATATTCCTACAGCTTTTAAAATATGAACATAACCCTGATCTGACCCATAGAGCTTTTGGCCAAGCAATTGATAAGAGTTAATAACATTAGAGAAAACGAAAACAACTGATACAATGAAGAGTACATGTGCTATGCTCACACGGGAACACACTGTACAGCTACTCCCTTGGGTAGATGGCCTATTTCGGAGAATCTTTTGTTTCAAAAATTTGGAATATATCCAAGTATCACTAGATGATTATTTTCATAGAAAAACATTTGAATTTTGAGTTCTCGAACACCTAAATCTTGCTCTCGGAAAACTGGATGGTTGTTTAAATCTTAGGTTGTTGATTTTTTAAGGAACATAAAGGTTCTATTCAATTATCTTTTCCTTCAAAGTTGGTTATTAGGTTCTAGAGATTATATCCCCAAATTTTGGGTCCAAATTTTTTTTCTCTAACATGGTTTTACCCGAAGAAAACATGTACACAATATGCTCATGCCGGAGCAGCAAATCTTTACTCTATAGTGAGTGGTTATTCCCATTTCAAGAAGAGTGGGCCTTCATACCCAAATGCACATGCAATGGAGTCACCAAGTTTTGATGCCATATGCAAATTGCCATTGATGACCCAAAAATGATAAAAGGACAAACCAACCAAAGGGAGTTATATTTCAATATTTCTATAGATGGTATTAGGAAAAATGTAGATATTTTGTGTACATAATGTCATCGTTTAATTAGAGGGCATGACTGTTTTTTTATTTTGACATGAAATCACAAGCGCTTTTTGCTGTTAGATGTTAAACTGAATGGCTACAAATTTATTGTTTTTAAAATTAAATTTAATTCTATTTTATTTAAAGTTTTAACATAGTCATTAGCATGGCCCTAGCTGAATGTTGTAAATTTGATGGGTGATCTTGACTTGAATCAAAGGGAAATGGTTTTAGGATGCAATTTATATATGGCGTACATCTAAAACAATAAAAGTAAAACACATCTCCGAATGCTAGTGGAAGGTGCAATTTTGGTGAAGAAAACTCTGGCCTAAAATGGAAGTACTACCCCTAAATATGAAATTTAAAGCTTTACAAAAAGTTGTTGATCAAGGATATCATAAATATTTGAAAATATTGAATATTGATAGTCCAAATAACATGTTAAAGATACATTGTATTCATCGCTCGAAAGTCTTTTACTTGAATATCCATAATTATTGAGTTGGAGATAATAGTTTTACAAAATCTACATAAATTGGTTGAGTGGATTTTTGGGGTGCGCTTCATTTCTTTAAGGGAAAAGTTTATATAGAGCCGAGGCTCCAAACAATCAAATTGGAGCTTATCTCAAAAATTTCACTAGAAGAGGTTGTTTTGATGCTCAAATATCCTCACATTGATCATCTCAACATCAAGATGTATGAACATGAGAAAAAAATGGATTTCAAGTTTTGGAAATAGTTTATTTTGCAACGCATTTTTGGACCGTCAATTTTCAAAATTTTCAAATTTTCATAGATTTGTTGATCTATACCATTTTTGAAACTTTAAACTTTATAAATAAAGATGAAAATATATTTTAAGGCTATCACAAAGATTTCCAATAATGAAACTACATTTTTCGATACTATTTGAAGGGAGGCTCGAATTTGATTGTTTAGAGCCTAGGCTTTATACAAACCACACCCTTTCTTTAATATAGGGATGACATCATATATAAATATTTTTCTTCATAGGAAAAGTTTAAATTATACACATGGCCACCGCATTTTGGCAATTATAAATGGGTTATGACCATCCAATCAAGGTCAAAAGTATGGCCATTACTGTCTAATGAATGGGAGAAAAGCTAAGCCTAGTATCACCTATTTGCTTGCTTTTTCTATTTGGACGCAGTTTCTATAAGGGAAAAGTTTACGTAAGAATGCTACCTTATAATGTAGAACTACATAAACCCCTAAAAAATCCGGAAAATGTAGTTTTAATGTTGAAAAACCCTTTGATTAAGCATCTCGATATCGAGATGTATAACTATGAAAAATAAAAAGATTTTAAGCCTAAAAAATAGTGTATTTTACAACATATTATCTATATCGTCCATCTTCAAGATTTTCATATATTTATAGATCTACTTCATTTTAAACATTTTTAAAATTTAAAATTTTATAATTAGATATAAAAATAAATTTTAAGATAATCCTAATAACCTTTTACATCAAAATTATGTACCATGATAAAATTTGAAGGGCACCATACCTCTACATCTAAGGAGGCATTTGTATGCCAACTGCACCCTTCTATAACGCTTAGGCTTTATTTAGAAAAAGTATACCTTCACTAAACATTCCTGTCCAAATAACATTTTGGGCATGAGAAATGGTTAAGATGACTCGTTAATTCATTTCCAACATTGATTATGAAATTTGTAAGGTTCGTCTTCACCTAAATGTGGGACAACACTTTCCTCGAACAAACAAGATTGGCACGACTCATTTCAACTTCTTGATTTGTGAGAAAATGGATCAACCCTCTTTCTAGGAGGAAATATATAGCAGTAAATCCTTTTTATAATCTTTTCAGAATATACAATTGTTTGAGCAACTCACTTGTTGACATTGTTGTCCCAAAAATGTCGATTGATCCGAAGTGGGCCCAATAATGGAAATTGGGTTAGATTAAGGGGCCGTTTCGATACCTGAAAATCCATTACAAGGAAACAAATTACAAGGAAATCTAGCATTTTTAGGAGCTGTTTGGATATCTGGAAATATAATATCTGTGACATATATTACTGGTGTAATACATTATTGCGTAATTGTAAATGGATTGTTACTATTTGGGTAGTATTTAGATGCAACCTGATAAATACATTGTTATTGTTGCGCAACGTCTGTAAGAAATATAGGAAATGCATTATTAACATTTTACCAGTACGTGCCTATTTCTTTCTTTTTTCTCACAAAATTGAACTAAAATGCAGAATTATCATTTCCTTATTTTTTGTCACAAAATTTCATTAAAATACTGAATTAAAATCATCATCGCAACATTCCAAAAAGATTTCTAATAATAACATCATCACTATTCCAAAAAAATTTTCTAATAATAACTTGTACCATTTTACAGTCATGATACTATTTCCTACTTATTTTAACTGCCTTTGGCACTTATATGCAATCACATGTTTTCTAACATGCCATTGGTTTCAACCTGAGAAGTCATTGGAACAATATGATTGGAATAACATAATTTTATTATGATAAGCCTTATTTTTATTTAGTTTTTATAGAAGTCTTTCAAATGTCTCTCTATATAATTTCAAATAAACAACAAATTTATGATACTAAATTCAAAATCGGTAGGGTACGAGTTAAAAAATGAGAAGAAGTTTGATTAGTAAACTAGAAGGTTTGGTAATTGCACTATAAAAATTTTGAGGTATTGGAGGAGACTAAAGAGATATGTTATTTCAATTGAGATTTTAGTAATCTCTTATGAGGGTTATGTTGTGTGAAATTTTTTATTATGATTGTGTTGTGTAATTTATCTGATTTTTAGTTTTATTATTTTTGTTTTTATATGACATTGATATTTTGAGATGAGGAAAGGGAGGGATCATATTATGTTATGTGAAATTCTTTATTATGATTGTGTTATATAATTTATTATCGATTATTGCTTTTTATTTTTATCATTTTTTGTTATATGACAGTTGATGTTTTCATATAAGGGGACAAGCTTAAAAACAGAGAGGGTTTAGGCAAAAAGGCACACGAAAGATTTCTCAAAATTATCCTTCACTCTCTTTCCATTTTCTTACGATTAAGTGTACCCAAACATTGGAAATGTCATATGTCACGTAATAGATTTTCAGGTACCTAAACGCCCCCTTAGTGTTTAGGTACACTTAAAGACTAAAAAAATAAAAATATATTATAGGTCATTTCCCTATATATTATGAAAACTGTTACATGTGGGAAAGCCAAGAAATCAATTACTGAGGCGACATGTAATTGTTCATGCGACATCCACCTCTCTTCTATGTCCCTATTCGAGACTCCCTTCTCTGCGCTCTCTCTAAAAACAAGTTGTGTGGGTAATCTTTGCGAGCAAATTTGCTTCCTCTCTCTCGAAACAACAAACTTAGAGCAACCTCGAGCAAAACTATTGTTTTTCTCTCTCTCTTGGAGCAACTTCTCTCACCCTGTTCGAAATCAGCATCTATGTCCCTTACCATGTCCAAGTAAGAGTTTTTTTTTTTCTCTCTCTCTCTTTGTTAAAAAATTGGGGGTTTTACCTATTTTTCTATGACATAAATTTGCTCTAAAAAATTTAGGGCTTTCATTTTTTCTAATGCTCTATAAAAATAGGGTTTAGTGGGTAAAAGATTTTTACAACAGTAAATATTTTACAGGCCAAAATGGTTGATTTGAGCAGATAAGATTAGGTTGATTTGGTTCGTTCTTTGTTACTCTTATTTCCATAAATAAGTAAAGTTATAGGTTGGTTTGACTCGTTTTTGTTATTTTATTTTACATAAAATCAATAATTATGAAAGGTTTCAGAAATCTTGATCATGGGGTTATCACACAGTAGTTACCAATATTTATTTCATAATGTCGATCGTTTTTCATTTTGGGTTTTGGTTATATGATAATTGTTTTTTGTGTCTGCGTATCTCTCTGTGGAATTTTTTCTGAGATTTTTGTATGCTTCATCATTTAGGAATCTCTCTCTTGAGTTTTTCTAGATCTTTTTCTGAATCCTAATATGGGCTCTCTCTCTCTACAATTTAGAAAATTTATTTGGAGTTTAGGTTATTTTGATACTCTTTAATATGAATTTCGGTATATTTTTTTTATAATCAAGGTGAGCTACATGCTGCTAAAATTATCTGAGTATGATACATAATGCTACTGAAATTAAACATAGTATGATACATGTTGCTTAAATTGATTTTTCTCTCTCTGTACTTTAATTATATTTATCTGCTTCTCTTTATAGATTGGTTATTAAGATCAATATTTTGCACTCTCTCTATTTTTGGAATGATGATTATTAATACTTTTGTTTCTCTATCTCTAGAATGGTGACGATGCCATTATTAGAAAATCATTTTGGAATGGTGTGATGATGACTTTAATTTTACATTTCAGTGATTAATTTTATATTTCAGTGAAATTTTGTGACAAAAACGAAAAAAATGATAGTTTATAGGCAAATGCTTGTAAAACATTGGTAATGTATTTTCCATATTTCTTCCCGACATAGGCAAACAATAGTAGTGTATTTTCGAAGTTGCATCTAAATACTACTCAAACAGTAACAATACAACATTTGCAGGTAACTACTCAAACAGTAACAATCCATTTACACGGAATATATTTATGCAGTAATGTATTAAGCTAGTAATATATTTCACAGACTATTTATTTCGAAGTATCCAAATGACCCTTAAATGTTATAGGGATATGTTTAGCACGCCAGTAGCGGGGTGAAGAAAGCGGTATAGGGATATGTTTAGCACGCCTGCAGCGGGGTGAAGAAAGCGGAGTCAACAATAAAGGAATTGGATCTCATTGCCCCAACAAATGATTCTACTCATAGCTCGTTTTGCCTCTTTTTCCCTCAATATCTCGTAGCGATGAAGAACCAATCTAGAGCCATGAACACCTGTAAATGGATGGTCTAGATAATTTATTATAATATATATTATTTTTAAGGTTTGAAATCTTAATTTTTCATAACTATAATAATCAAGGTCTAGATGATAGATTTAAAAGTTTTTTGAGACAAGTACTATAATTTTAGGTGAGTTTTGAGGAGAGGTTTTATTTTTGAGAAATTATCACAAATATATCTAAATTTTAGTTTATTTTTAAAAAAAAATGTTAATTTTCATAAATTTCGCCCATATCATTTTTTTTTAATTCTTTTTTTTTAATCAAAATAATAGATAAAAAATTAGAGAAACGAAAACATTAAGTGCCATATAATATGGTTTAGTTTTTACGGTATTTAAAATACTATGTAAAATGAGTTACTTTTCACTGTATTTAACTTTTTAAGTTACTTAAAATAGATAAAATTTATAAGAGTTGAAGATTTTTTTTTAAATAGACAAAAATTAAAATATGTTTGTAATATTATTTTTATTATAAAAAATTATCCAAAATAAGCTAAAAAATAGTACGAAGATTTTAAAATAGATTAATTAAGATTGGAATTACCCGATTCGGCACGAAAATCGGGAGAGTGAGGGGTATTTTAGATATTTACACTGGGAGGAGTTAGGCATTTAAGAACTTGTTAAGGGTGTTTTCGTCATTGTCGGCAGAGAGAGAGAGATTATTTCTGCTCTCAAAAAGCAGTTTTATTTTTTAGGGGGTTCTCTCTTCTTTCGTGCGCTTGGGTTTTCCTTTCAAAGAGATCAAAACGATTTCTTCTTGATTTTTCCAGAATTTTTCTCACCAGATCCAGAGTCGTTTCGTCTAGGGTTTTGAAGGGATCAGAGCAGTCTTATTTATTTAGGGTTTTTTATGCTCTTATCTCCAGATCCAAGTTTATTTGATCGATCCAACCTCAAACCCCTTTTTCTCTCACATTCTGGTTCCTAAAACCTATTCAATGGCTTCTTTTCTCACCTCCCTGAACCTCTTTTCTTTGAAATCTCTTGATCTTTCCCCTTTCAATACTAGAACCTGTGCTCTATTCCCCAAAAGCCCTTTTTTTTCTAAAACTAAACCCAACAAAATCGAGATCCGGCGTTTTTCGCAGGTTCAGGCGGTGGCGAAGTTCAAAGGAACGCAGATGAGAGAGCAGAAGCTCACAGAGATGATCGAGAAGAAGATCACTGAAGCGAAAGAAGTTTGCAAAGGCGATCTCACCTCTGATGAGTGCAAAGTGGCTTGGGATGAAGTGGAAGAAGTGAGCCAAGCCAAAGCTGATCTTCGCCGGAAAATGGAGAAGGAAGACCCTTTAGAGTCCTTTTGCCAAGAGAATCCAGAGACTGATGAGTGCCGGATTTACGATGACTGAATATTTCCGCCCATATTGGCGGGAAATCTTTTGCCCGATTCATGTGGATTCAAAGTTTGCCGGTGAGCGTTTGGCCGGAATTTATGTTGATGCTATTTCCAGGGTTTGTAAATTTCCGAGTCTCTTCTATCTGTACATACAATAAAGGACTCTTCTTTCTCCATGTTTATAGCCTTTTTTTTCTTCTTTTTTGAAGTTTCGTTTCGCTAAATTTAGCCCTATATCCCAAAATTTCGGCTTGGCCCCCGAGTTTTTGTTTTGGAAAATTTCGGCCGCATACCCTAATTTTCGGTTGCTGCGGCCTGTAAGAAAATAATATAAATTTGAAATTTTCTGCGAAATTTTAAATGGAATTGAAGGGAATCATGTATGATTATTGTTGTGAAAAAATTGCTAATTTTATTTTCTATTTATTGCCAATTTTTATTAAAAATGGGTTTAAGTGGAAATGTGACAGGATTTCGATTATTTTTGCTATATTGTGGAGAATTATAAGAAAATAATATTTCTAAAGATGCCCCTTTTATTTTCTAAATTAAGAAGTAGTCCTGTAAATTTTATGTAAATTGATTTTATATTTTACGATTAATTCCCGCTTTTTAGAGTATCATATTATATTTTGTTCATATCTCTGATCGTCTCATATTTGTAGAAAATATTTAAAAATGGAAAAAGTTTATATAAGGATGCTACCTTATAATGTAGAATTACGGATGCCTCTAAAAAAATCATCCATCCGAAAAAGTAGTTTTAATGTTGAAAAACCCTCTGGTTGATCGAGATGAATGACTATGAAATATAAAACGATTTTAAGTCTTACAAATAGTGCATTTTACAACATAGATTTTTATGTCTTTATACCATTTTGAAATTTAAAATTTTAGAATTAAATATACAAATAAATTTTGAGATAATCCTAAAGGCATTTTATATCAAAATTATATGCCATGATAGATTTTACCTGTACACCTACGGATGCAAACTGCACCTTTTAAAAATAGGGAAAATATCTCCATATCCTTTATTTAAATTTTATTTTTAATAAATCCAAGATTTGAAAAATATTTGGCTACTCTAAACCTATTTTTTTTATCTAGACATAAACAAAAATTGAAAAGACATGGTTGTTTTAAACCCAATCCCTTATCTATTCATTTATATACCTCAGTAATGAGATTTTTTTGACCTAAACATAAACAAATGTGAAAAAGTGAAAAGATATGCAACGTTTCAAACCCAATCCCTTCATTTATATACTTCATTTATACCTCAGTAATGAGATTAGCTAAGTACCATTTTGCTCGACTTCATTTCGCTTTCATAATCATTACGGAGAAATCGTTTACGAGGGATATACATTAGTTACTTTTATATATAAAAAATCTTGATTTGGTAGCATAACTCAAGGTCTTCAAAAAGTTGAATGAGTGTTAGAAGCGAGTGATTCAATATCGATGAACCTAATCCCTTCTTTATTTTCATTTATATACCTCGAACTTCACTCTTTCTTGCATCTCGGGTGTTTATTTTCATGGTCATTATGGAGAAATCCTTTACGAGAGAGATATATTGGTTACTTTTATATATAAAAAATTTAGATCAGATGATATAACTCAAAGTCTTTCAAAATCTAACATAACTCAAGGTCTTCCAAAAGTTGAAGGTCTTCCAAAAGTTTAAAGTCTTTCAAAAGTCTAACAAGTGTTACATTCAATCAATTTAATATTGATGAATCCAATCCCTTGATTTAATATTGATGAACTCAATCCCTTCTCTATCTTCATTTATATACTTCAAACTTCTCTCTTCTCTCCCGTATCTTCATTTATATACTCCAAACTCTCTTTATCTCATTATGGAGAAATAGGGAGATACATTAATTCCTTTTAGATCTGGTGATATAACTCAAGGTCTCATTACTGAAAAAATCAGTTACTTGTCTATATATATATATATATATATATCTATCTGAAAAATTTAGATCCCTTAACATAACTCAAGGTCTTTACTTTTATATATATATATATGAAAAATCTAGATCCTTGATATAACTCAAGGTCTTTATTTTTATATATATATATGAAGAATTTAGATCCTTGATATAACTCAAGGTCTTTTCTTTTATATATATATATGAAAAATCTAGATCCTTGATATAACTCAAGGTCTTTACTTATATATATATATATGAAAAATTTAGATCCTTGATATAACTCAAGGTCTTTTCTTTTATATATATGTATGAAATATCTAGATTCAGTGATATAACTCAAGGTCTTCCAAAAATGGATGTTCGAAGGTCTCATTACGAAGAAATCGGGAGATACATCAATTACTTTTATATATGAAAAATCTAGATCCCGTGATATAACTCAATGTCTTCCAAAAGTGGATGTTACTTTTATATATGAAAAATCTAGATCCGGTAATATAACTCAAATCTAGATCCCGTGATATAACTCAAGGTCTTCCCAAAGTGGATGTTACTTTTATATATGAAAAATCTAGATCGGGTAATATAACTAAAGGTCTTCCAAAAGTGGATGTTAGAAGGTCTCATTACGGAGAAATAGGTTACTTTTATATATGAAATATAACTTAAGGAGGTCTCATTACGGAGAAATAGGTTACTTTTATATATGAAATATAACTCAAGGACGTCTCATTACGGAGAAATAGGTTACTTTTATATTGAAATATAACTCAAGGAGGTCTCATTACGGAAAAATGGGTTACTTTTATATATGAAATATAGCTCGAGGAGGTCACATTACGGAGAAATAGGGTATTTATGAAATATAACTAAAGGAGGTCGGAGGTCTCAGTATGGAGAAATAGGGTTATATTTCAATAGCGTATATATGAAATATAACTCAAGGAGGTTTCATTACGGAGAAATAGGAATATTATAAAACTCTTAAACAGATTTTCCAGCTTTATGCTCAGATATGGTTTCTATGACTCGGATCAATTTACATCACAATTACTTGGCTCATTTAAAACACGAACACAAGGGCATTCACATCAATGAGGGCCTTTTTTTCTTTCTGTATTATATAAAATTCATTAAACTACCTATACTACGATAATGTATATTTTATGTTATGATAGTGTATATTTTGATGGGTATTCTAAAATTAAATTGAAAGAAGAAATTTTAAAAGTTAATAGCTTATAATTATTTAGATAAATCTCTCATATAAAGGGAAAGTGCAATCTTACTGCGACTATTGTTTGGGTTGATGAGACATGACATCCACCGTCCAATCTTATCAACGGACGGTAGTGGTGACCCATTGTCCCCCCTGTCCCACTCTGAAATATAACTCGACATCTTTTCATAATATTATTAAGGGGGAAATATACAATACCCACACTACTAGAATTGTTTGGGGTGCTGAGAAGGAAAATGGATTGCATGGGATGCTAGGATACGTTATCACTTGATCTTGTCCAGGGATGGTAGTGGATTGTCACCTTGTCAAGGGATGGTAGTGGATTGTCACCTCGTATATCTTTGTTGGATGGTCAGATCTCTGATTCGGATCGGTTTGAAGCGGCGATCAATAATAAAAAAATAAACTAGAGGTTTATGGGTCGGGGGAATTTAAGAGATGATATAAAAAAATATTAAATAAGCTTAAAAAACAAAATATAAAAAAAATAAAAAAAGTTTTAGGGGACTTGACCGGTACCAATACCTTCTTGGAAGTGGTTTGGTCTTGGCTTATTCCCGATCTAGAACACCATATTTCGAAATACTAGTTAAATCTTATGAGGGAACAACAAATTCGATCCTCGAAAGGATAGAGAGTAGATGGCTAGTTAGGCTCGACATCCTACACAACAATATTAAGTCATGATCAATTATATGAGTTTTTGGGTAGGCTGGACACGACAGTATTACGTCTCTTGAGCCTTTGGTAACCACCTTGTTCGAGATTGCGAAATCCAGAATGGTTCCGAGCGGCGAGATAAGGAGGTGGGATGTGAACTATTAAAGGGAGGATCAGCCTGGGTCAAGTGTCTATAAAATGAACAGCAGATGCCCCTCATTTGAGACCATCCTTCAGAAGTCTGAACACGTTATAAGAGTGTGCATTGACAATAGAATAAGCACAGAGGATTTTCTTGCACCGTCTTCACACCACCCAAGCAGTCAGATGTCAATGAGTTTAAGCCGGGCTTGAGCTTGCAAATGGACCGGTCAGGTATGTTCTCCATTCAAGGCTTCCAAAGCTGGGCTTGGGCCCAGCTATCCGTCCAATAGGCCAGGTCATTCTCTAGAGGCTAGGTACTTTTTATGTGGACCTGGCTCATTCCCAACATTTTTTACCTATGTCAAGCTCAGGCCCAAGCCCAGATCGATACCACGCAGGCTGGGCTTGGGCAGGCCCATCCAGCCTGCTTGCCCTCCGAAAGGGGTTGCAGCCTGTGCTCAATTTTTTTTGCTATTTAAAAGGGCATGTTCAGAGCTGACTAGGTATGGCTGGCAATAATTATTTGTTGCATAACAATTACATCTTATTGTGAGTAAACGTATTCGGGGTTTACTAGTAGTGTTTTTAAAACAAGTGTCCATAAATTTCTTTATTTTGGGTAAATTAGTAGGGAAAATGCATTTTACATGTTATTCATGAATAGAAATAAAACATATTACAAATCATTATTTTACAACCCTATAATAACGCATTTGTGCCATATCATGAAGTAAAGGAAGAAAAATAAAATCAAGAAGCCTAGATTGCCAAATTGTGGCATCTGAAAATTTAGGCGCCTCTTTAATAAGTAAAAAGTGTTCATAATTAACATAGGTTAATGCGTTAAATAATAATTGCAAATAGAATTTAATGCATTGAGTCCATCCAAACTGCCCTTAATGTGGGTTTTTTTTTAAAAAAAATTAATCCACAAATTCTTCCAAGTTTTTAAATTTTAGTTTTCCATGTAGTTTTGGAAAGTACTATGCTCTCCACAAACTGCGAAAAAAAAGACAAGACTTAACATCAAACTGGATTCTTTATGAGAGAGACTCCAAGCAACACCTTAGATCTTGAAGATGACAAAAATGGGAAGAAAGATGAAAAGCATTTGATGGGTCATGGGGACGCAGTTGATGGATTGCATCTCCCAACGCATCAAATATTCACCAGAGTGCACTTGCAACAAAAACATGGTGCCTTGGACAGTTAAACATATTCAAAACAACAAGAATGGTGCTTTATAAAGTTAAAATGGCAATGCAAAAAAGATTGAAAAAATACTTTTCTAAATCTCAATTATTTTTTTTAGATTCATGATCACCATGGTCCAAATTACCGACCCCTTAAATGTTTGAACCTAACATACATCTCTAAGATAGATTTTAGAGAGGTGACATACATAAATAGATGAGTCAACTGAACTGGCTTCTCTCTGTCAAATGATAGATAACACCCCAAGTAACATCTCAGATGAGACAGCAACATGAAGAAAAAAAGTCCCAACTCATTGGATAGAGTGGCCAGAACAATGCTGGGGTTATAAAAATTCTTCAACTTGACCCACCATATTTTTGTGGTTTCTATGACGCCTAGGGTTTATAATAACAAAATAAAGCCTCACCTCAAATATTCATGGAAACCACTTTTGATAATGGAAATCTCCATGATGGATCTAAATCAATTTCCAACAATTACAACAAAATTTAAAACTAAAAAAATGGTACAGATCTTGTGGATCTATGAATACTCATTTTTAGGGTGAAATGGACGGTCTAGGTACTTTGTTACATTATATACTATTTTTAGAACTTAAAATCGCAATTTCTCTAAACAACCATAATGTTCAAGCCAAGTTTATTATCAATGCAAAGGTTTTTCAATGCCTGAATGTAATTACGATGAGTTATGAGGTGAGGCTTTTCTTATTTTGATAGGGCTGCAGTCCTACCAAACCATTTTCCTCTGTAAAATTCACCTTCCCATAAAGCATACGTCAAAACCAAGTGCTAGAAACAAATTGAATGTTCAAGCAAAACACAAGACACCCAACATAAAAAACCAATAAAACCAATTAAAATGGCAAAAAATAAAAAACTTTCTCACAAGAGGACTAATTTTATCCTAGCGACTCACGCCCTGCCCCGTTTTATCCCACGTTATCCCACGTACAAATCTATGCCTTCATTCTTATATTTGTTTGTTTTGAAAAATATTTCTTCTTCACAGGAATCCCATCTTATGAATCTTTTGTTGTCATCCATATATAGCTCACACTATGGGAGTGTGCTCCCCCACGGCAAGCCACACTCCTCATTCTCTCTTTGTTTCTTTATGGTGCAGTGTGGCCATTACGCACACAGCCACAGTTGCTAGCCTAAGACACCAAGCCACCAATCATAAGATTGGGGGCTCAAGACTAGGAGGTCAGGGTGACGAAGGTGCCACAACATGACATCTTGCGATTTCTACTGTAGATAAAAAAACACTCCATCTCCACTAAACTTCTCAAAAGAAGAAAAAAAAGATTCTAGTCTTTGAAATCGAAACATGCAGTCTCTACTTCCACTAGTCCTTTGCTAATTTGATAGGTTTTTGCTTGAGAGGCTCCGAGGCTATATGGCTCAAAGTCCGGCTCCTTGTGCTGACCATGCGACGCTCGATGTTGTCCAAGACGAGGGCCCTGACATGGGCCAAAGGTCTCAATGGCTTCGAGCAATGATCCTCGGAGCCAGTGATGGTCTAGTCTCAACAGCTTCACTCATGATCGGTATTGGAGCGGCGGTCGAGGAACACCGAGCCATGTTGCTCTCAGGCCTCGCAGGAGCTGTCGCGGGAGCATGTAGCATGGCGGTTGGAGAATTTGTGTCTGTGTCGACCCAACGAGATATAGAAATGGTGGCCTCCACATCCAAGCTCAAAGTAGTTAACCTCCAAACAGTCCACAACCTTCTTCAGGTCTTGAAATCGATCCCTGAGGACCAAGAGAAACACACAATTGACTTGGAGTCGCCAACAACTAGTGTTTTGGGGTGCTCCACTGACTCATTAAAGGGCACCGCAAAATTGGGGCCTTTAGCAGACAAGTCCCCGATACGAGAAGTTCCCAACGGAAAAATTCGTGTATCAGGGATGTCACCAATGAGATCTCCGATGATGAGGGCAATTGCCGAAAGCTCGATAAAAAGAATAGTTACTAGGGATTCACCCGAGAGAGAAGATCGAGTGAGGGCATTGCCTAACCCTTTTCAAGCTGCCAGTGCCTCCGCATTGGCCTTTCTGTGCGGATCAATTGCACCATTGGTCTCAAGTGTGTTCGTAGTTGGCTATGAGGCCAGGATCATGGTGCTTGCAGTGGTGAGCTCCATGGCACTAGTAGTGTTGGGAGGCGTTGGAGCTAGGCTTGGGGGCTCAAATGTGAGAGTTTCTGCCTTCAGGGCTCTTTTGGGTGGATGGCTGGCGATGCTTGTGACCTTTGGTATACTCAAGCCTTTTGAAAGAAAAGATAGGGAATAAGGTCTTAGTTTTATTATTTTTATTTTTTGCATTAAAAAATCTCTCTCCTCTTTCGCCATTTTCCTTCCCCTCTGCCTTCCCATGCGTTTTGACTAGAGAAAATGCAAGCCTAAGAGGAGCGGCTGATTGTTCAAAAGGGAGATGTGTAATAAGTACCACCCACTTTTTAATTTTCCACTCATTAGACGTCAAATTGGATGACTTAAAATGAATCATGAAGTTCAAGATTTTTTTTTTTTCGAACTTTGAGTCTATTCTATAACACTCTTACAATCACCCATTTGAAAATTTAAAGGACAAGAATGATTGTAACCTCCATATACAAAAAATAAATAATCTCTTTGTAGACAATCTCTATCTATATCTCTATGTTTTGATCCTTACATGTTTTTCATTCATCATTTCAAATTTGATGTAGACAATCTCTATCTATATTCCTATGTTTTGATCCTGGCATGTTTTTTATTCATCAATTCAAATTTGATGTGCATATATGTTTCGAACTTATGTAGGCATACTTTCCTTTTTTACAATAAGGATGCTTTCCTTCCATCAAGGGGGAGAGAGAGACCATACTTGACGTTAAAGGGCAAAAGAGCCAAGGCAAAATATTGCCTACTATGTCAGTCAGGTCCAAAATGTACAACACCAGCATATATTGCTGAGATAAAAGGTCTAGAGTTTTTTCTTACTTATAATCAGTACAAAGAAAGGCTCACCACATCCACCTTCAACATCATTTCACATTCACTTGTGCATGGTTTTCCAAGATGTAGCCTCTCTCATCCAGTTAGGATCAGGGCAGCCTACCAGACAACAAACAATCCTTAGCTGAAGTTATGGGAAAAATGAACTGGCAATTCATCCGGGACAAGCATTGATGCTATAGTGTGTGGGCACGTGCGTGAGAAAAAAGAGAGAGCGAGAGAGAGAGAGAGAGAGACTTTCTTAGTAGCAGTGACGGTGACGGTGACGGTGACGGTGACGGTGACGGTGACGGTGGAGGTAGTGTGTGTGTGTAAGAGAGACTTGGCAGTAACATGAAACAGGGAACCAATTAAAGGATCATGGTCCACCAACACAACCAAACCAGAAACACAAAGAAAAGCTCACAACACGTTGATGTTTCTCCTAGGCAAGAAGGGCATTTAAATGTGCTCCCTAGGAAGAAAGTGAGCAAGAAAAGAAAGCAGAGACCAAAAAAACAAAATCCTAGTGTAGACCAAAAAAAAAACAGGAAGTGAACATAAAAGAAAGAAGCGATCTTTTATCTAATAAGCGTCAATGAAACAGGAAGTGAACATAAAAGAAAATTACCCGAAAAATGCCACCCTACTTTAAACAAAGCATCCACCCTGCACCCATGATCAGAGGATCAAGAGGCCCACCCTACTTTAAACAAAGCATCCACCCTGCACCCATGAACACATAATATCAAGAGGCCAGTCACTCATTTCCACCTCCATCCCCTTCCATTGCTTCCTTCACATCGATGGTAAAGTTATACTCTTGGTCACATCCAAGATAAGAGTCGCACATAAAATACAGTGTATACTCCTTCTTCCCCACCTCAGAAGGCGCCGGGAACTCAAGCTTCACCTTGGATTTCCTCTGCAAAGAAACCCTCTTAATGGCAAGCAACTGATTGAGCTTAAAATCCCCAACCACCAACCACCAACCTTCCTCCTTGGCCTTCGGGTATCTTGGGGCATCAACGGGCCCCACCTCCGACCTCCCCTCAAGGTCTCTCTCTAAAGTAACTTGAAGAATAACATTCTCTCCTGCTCCAGCAACCTCTCCTTCCAAAACTTCATAGGACATGTCTATGTTAGGAAACCGATTGCAATACTTGGCGATGTCTAAGAGTTGGGAATCCGACATTTGCAAGAGATCACGCCTCTCATCATCCTCCATTTCAAGGAGGTCAAATATGGTCTCGATGCTCTTGCCTGGGTTTTCTTTGCACTTTTTAGCAAGCTCCCTTGTGAAGTGGGGGAGTTGCAAGAGCACTGAGTCCTTGTCCCACATGCTTTGGGTCACCATTTGACTAAGCTCCATGGCCGAAAGAGCTAGTACCAGCCACCCATTGCTCGATATGACATCGACCATGGCTTGGAGGAGCCTGTTGGCTGATAGTAAAACCTCACGCTGGTCCGCTGCCAAGTTCCCTACCACCGTGTGCCTTGAAAAGTGGGCCTGTCATTAATAATTCAGTAAGGTTATTTATGATATTTTACTGTGCCTAATGAAATGATGGGTAGAGATGGAGAGAGTGGGAATGAAATGATGGGTAGAGATGAAGAGAGTGCAGTATGGTTATTTATGATATTTTACTGTGCCTAATGAAATGATGGGTAGAGATGAAGAGAGTGGGAGAGAAAGTGGGACCCAAGAGTACAAGACATGTGCCCCATGTCCATCACCCTCCATTTCATGCGATGGCCATGAGTGAATCGTCAAACCCAATGTGCCAGGACTTGCCTTGGCCAGGGGACCCACCCTAGACCAGCACAGGGCCAAAAAGCCCTTGAAAAAAAAAGTTTTTTAAAAAAATTAAGAAAAAACAACAAAAATATAAGCTAAATTCAAACCTGAAACAACTTCAAAAAGTTAAAACAAGTTTTAAAAAGTACAGAAAATTTGTATTTAAAGAACCCGATTTCCAGCTAGGGACAATTTAAAAAAATCTAAATAACAGACAAATATAAAATAGTGATTATGGCAAATTATACTCACCAATCTTTGCCAAATTTCCAAATCATGTAAGTAAAATTTCTACAACATATGTTGATTTCATACTGTTTTTTTTGGTTTTATGACAAGTTTTAAATGCTCCGAGTTGTACACAATCTTGGGGTACTAGGCCAAGTCCAAGTCGACTCGGCCGAGTCCTAGCACACTGGTCAAACAAATAGTACACCATTCCTTTAGCCATTTAAGTTGGAAGCCACCCATGATTTTCATAATCCACTCATTCAGTTGAAAACAGTGGATGGCCATATTGAAAATTCCAAAGGTTAGCATCATCACCATATTTTGAGACAAAAAACAGGTGACTTACTAAAAATGTCAGTGCTCAAAGTAAACCCCCTCATATCCCAAGGGCATTTAAGAGGGGCATTTTAGTTGCTGCATACCTGTAACAAAGCATTTGCCTTCAAATGAGGGTCAGTGTACCGTGGCTTCTCAACTGAGAACCTTTGATGGTTGATGAGCTTCCTTATCATTTCCTCCTCGCCTGGTCGTATTGGAAGATCAGCATACTCAGAAGCTGAAGCCAATATTTCAATAAGCCCCTTAAGCTTCGTCTTCGCTGTGAGCAAAGAACTGAATCTCTCTATGGTGGTGTAGCTTATATAGTAGTAAGAAGCTATCATGCCGAGGTTCAATGGGGAGAGGTCCATGTCCTCCTCTATTGCCACACACTTGCTCGCTTCCAAGTTTGAAAGAGTATTCTCTACAAGTTCTGAAAGGTGGTCTGAGAGGTGCCTGTGGCTCACCCCTTGAAGGTTATAATAATTTGGGTTCTGAGAGAGCCTCCTATACATGAAGGTCCAAGTGAGATAATCAACTGCATCTTGCTTGCTCTCGATGATCCCAACCACCACCTCGGCATTAAGATTATCGTGCAGAAAGTGCTGCAAATGGCTCTCCACAGGAAACGACTCATAAACAAACTTCTTATAATATTCCTTTCGTGGAGCATGGCATAAGATCACGCACTTGCCGGAGTTATCTTGGAGTGGCCTACTGGCATGACCCATCATTTGTAAGAGGTCAGTGATGGGGTAATCAGTGTGCGCATTTTCTCGGCCATCATAGTATTGGGTTCCCATAACCACAACCAAATGGGCCAATAATGGGGTCCCCCAACACATGGAGCTGCTTGATACACAAACTTGGATGCAACCTGCACTGAAGAGGTGCGATACCACGTCTTGGTCTATGCTACTCAACCCCTCATGTATATAACCTACCCCATGTCTGAGGGCAGCACTTAAGGCCGGCTCGCTAACCCTAGAAATGAAGGGCTCCAAGACTTCTTCAGGTTGGAGCAAGAAGGATGACTTCTCTCCACTCTCTGCATTAGCATACGTGACCAAGTCAAGGGCGGTTAGCCTGGCATGCTTCCTTGTGGGAACGTAAACAAGAGCGGGCTTCCCCACCTTTGCATGTTGAACTACGGCAGTGTATGTGGGCTTTGTCATGGCTTGCATTCGAGCTTCAAAATTGGCTATGTCTATCCCTTGAATGTGGATCTCAAGGGGCACAGGGCGAACACCAGGTGGGAAGTTAAAAAGGCCATGAGAGGTGGCTCCAATCCATTCTCCAAGATCCTTCGCATTTGCTAGAGAGGTAGAGAGAGCTACTATTCGAATCTTATTCTCAACTTGGCTCGAAATATACCTCATTCTTGAGACGATAACCTCCAAAACTGGTCCCCCTTGACCACCGATCAGGTGGAGCTCGTCAACTATAAAGAGGCTCACCTGTTGAACATGCTTCCGCTGTTTCCATCTACGAGAAAGGGCATCCCATTTCTCAGGTGTGCCGATAATTACTTGGGCTTTTTCCAAGAGCTTGAGATCGGTTGCCGTCTCCCCAGTGAGCTCGACCACTCTCAATCCCAAGCCTTTTCCAAACTTTTGCTCCCAATCCCTATATCTTTCCTTGGCAAGAGCTTCAATTGGGGCTATATAAACAACTCTCATAATGCTATCAGGGCCTTTCTGATGGTTCCTCAACAGAGCAAATTCTGCACATATGGTCTTCCCACTACCTGTGGGTGCTGCAACCAAAACATTGTCATCTGAGTTGTAAAGAACAGTGAACACTTGAGTTTGGATGGGGTTAAAATGCTTGAAATCTTGATAAAGAGCTTCACAAGAGGGGTTTCTCAATGCAGTCACAGGAAGAGGTTGCAGGTCCAAAAGCTCGGTTGGTGGGGGGTATTTTTCCGGTAAAATAAGGTGCCTGAAAGAAACAGGCAATACAGTCTGAGAACCCAACCACTTATCTGAGACAACACGAATAAAGTACTGCGGAGGAAGGGGCTCATAGATTGGGACTGTGAAATTCAACGTGTGGTCTTCATCAATGTATTGCATCTTTTGCATGAAGTACTCATGGTGGAGTATGTATTCTCCATCATTGTCCTCAACAATTACCCAAAAGGGTTCGACATAGCCATGGACCTTCTCGTCCCATTGGAAATCAGGGGTTATTGTGAGTTCAACCCTCAGAACAGTGCGTGTAATGGGCTGGACATTGGCTGCTAAGTTTAGCTTTGGGAACTGATGTATGAATTTGTGAAGAGTTTTGCCCATCTTTGGAAATCGAATAAGCTCCCCAATCTCTTGAGAAGAGAGGTCATAGTACCGCTCCCAGGCTAGATCCTTCTTCTCAATCTTCATCAGGATGTCATTTGGTATACCCTTAAACTGCCTTAGGGGTGTCTGGACACTCCACATGCGCTTTCCAACCATCTTGCACAAGTTCAGAGCCTTCTCAGCCAGTTGGGCCCATCCCCTTTTTAGCACAATCTCAAAAAGTGCACGTAATAGCCGCCCTGCGCTCTGCATGAGACAACAATCCACAATCAGAAAAGCTGAATTATTTCAATCTCTTCATCTTATTACAAATAAAAATAAAGACCAAAGCAATGGAAAACCATGAAAGTGCCATGTTCTAAATATATCACTAAAACTGCAACGAATTCTGAAATGGAAAAAAGCCCTTGCTAGTTTGGATGAACTCAAAACATTTTCTGATCCTCCAAAGCTCAATACCACAAACTTCAAAATAATGACTCAGATTTACAGCATAGATGGAATGCTTTTAACACTCTTGAAATTTTATTACATTAGCATTGAGTTTTGCGAGGCACACTCACCATTTTTCTTCAAGTCAAATATAGAAAAGAAAATTCCATTATACAGAGATTTCCATTATTCAGCAGCAGGCTGGGGATCATTTCTTTCTATGAAGTGCAAGGCCCTTGGGTCTATCAGCCATCCTAGATCTTGGATTTGGTATTATAAAAAATTTTAGACTTTCCAAGAACTGGAGGCAGTTTTCTATTTTCTAAGAATCAAAACCATTTATAGTTAACTTCCCTTCAAAAAAAAAGAATCAAAAGCATTTTTGTGTTTACATTTTGAAACTGGATGCGGTTGCATAGTTCACACATGAATCCAAATTCATAGTCTAATTGTTATATAGAAACGAACTAAACGGAATCCATAATCTAAAGCCTTCCCAAAATACCTGAGTAATATACACCATATCAGAAGCCAGAGAAAGTCCTTCGAGCTTTAGCTGCGAAATATATGCCTGGAGCAGAACATTGATCTTTGCACAGGGTTCTTCCAAACTCTCCTTTACAGGTATAGGCACACGATCCAGGAGCTTTGCAAGCTCCATCTTCTCATCTTGCCTCACAGTAACATATTTAAATTCTTCACTTAGGGAAAACAACCGACAGAGTTCAATGTCACCCATTGTTGGCTTCAAATGTTCATTATATGTAGATATTGTTCCATGAGATATATAATAGTAACTAGCAATACGACCCAAATCTGTCACCTGAAAGTACCCACTCTTCCTATCATATTTGACCAAATTATTTTTGTCAAGGATAGTTGCAGCAGAATGAACCTGGAGAAACAAGATAAAGAAGTCAATAAATTAAGTAAGACATGATACTGACCTTCATCACATTCTATAAGTTCTACAAAAATGTCAAAACCTAATAAGGATGCTAACAAGATCCAAGACAGAGCAGCCCACAGGTAAAAGGCCCAGCAAAAGAGAAAGGAACATTATACTGAAGAGCCAAAATATTGTAATCAAACAAACAAACCATAGGAAAAATCCCGAAGCATACAAGAGATAAAAGAAATATTCAATTAACTGCCAACACTTACAACAACTTTAGATGTACTCTTGCCAACAATAATAGCCACCCACATCAGGAAAGAACATGAATGCTATATCTCACTTCTTGCATAGTAGGCACATGATTCTAAGCTTCTAACAAACAAGAGATGAGTCAAATATCTTTTTCTATAGCCGATCTGTCAGACTTATCTTTTGATGGACCAAAATAAATAAAACCCGGTTACTACAAATTACCATAAATAAAATATAATTAATGTAAGGTCGCAAATTCTTCAATTTCATGCTTTCTTATACAAAAAGGACACCTGAACTAACATAATATTGCCAAACAAGGTGGTGCTTTGGCTAGACTCACAATACTTTTAAAAGAGGGTAAGAAAAACTTGCCAAGGAAGAGCAAATTTGAATCAATACACTTCAGTGAAATTTTCTAGTTGATGATTAAAAAAGGAAGAAAAGGAAAAACTTTATCTCTAACATCTTTCCAACGGTAAGGACAACTCCTCAGCTCCACCACCATTATAGTAGCTCCACCACCATTATAGTTCTAACTCGTGCTGTTTACCTCTCTTCAGCTTTTCTATCTGTGTTACTACGCCATGCATGGTTCTAGATAAGTCTACCTGGATGCGAATATCAAATTTGATTTCAAGAGTCATAAATGGACTAAAATGCTTCTTGTCCGCACAATTCATTGAGATGTTATACAACAGTGCTTGTCTACCAGTGTTATGTACAGCCAACACACACCAGCCTACAATATATTTTAGGGAAAATTTCGTATAGAATGCTAATTTCCTTGTATTATTTCACGGTAGACCCTTCTTCTATTTTTCTCTCAAGTGACATAAGCAAACCCCTAAAGATTTCACCATACCCCCCTCATCACTTATCTCCCTCTTTTATTAACTTTTGATCATAAAAATTAGCCCCACCAAATCTTTTTATACCATTTTAACCCAAAAACTCTTTTAATAGGTGGAAAGGAAAAATGAGGGTTACAAAAAATTTGGGATGAAATAGTATAAAA